GTATGTATGGTCGCTGGGTTGGATTGACGGCCCTTCGTTTGCATGAAGACATCCAGAAAGGCAGGCCGGCCGGCAGACATGCTTATGAGTACAAATATACATACATGCTCATAATGTGTTGGCAAGTCTGATTTGTAAGAAAAAAACAAAAAATGGGGAACAACAAATTATGAACCGAAAAACATTATTGTATGTCGGCATTTTTTGTACCTTAATTTTTTTTTTATTTACCAACATTATTTCCCAGGAAAGTAGTCATCATAAATGGCAAGCCAGCGAACAGCAACAACAAAGAAATGAACAACAAAGTAGGTGGACTTGTTCATGGACATGTGAAGTCAGAAAAAAAATTAAACAGGGCAAGCTAGACGACGCGTCATATTAAATTGTTCAGGGGGGAATATATATTTTTTTATAATAAATGATTTTTATAGTAATACCAGATAGGAAGGAGGGGACAAAGACACACGCAAACACGAGAAAAAATAAATAATTAAATAAATGTTAAATTATTTTTTATATATTTTTGCAAGGGTCTATACAAGGCTTGGAATTTTTAAAAATATTTTTCAGGGCAAAAATTCGGTTAAAAAAACCGGTTTGAAACACAAACCAGGTTACAAAAACCGGTTGGTAATCGGTTTTTTATGCTTACACGAATAATATCGATTAAAAAATGGGATTTACAAACTTTTCGGGTATAAATCCCGAAAATTTGGTTCAAAAAAGTCGGTACAAAATCCATCAACCTGGTTACAAAAACCGGTTGGTATTCGGATTTTATGTTTATACAAAAATATTTCCTTTAAGATGGAATTTACAAACTTTGGAGTATAAAAACCGAAAATTCGGTTCAAAAACCCGGGTTGAAACCCACAAACCCGGTCAGAAAAACCCGATCGTAATCGGTTCTTTATGCTTACACGAATAATATTGACTTAAAAATGGGATTTACAAACTTTTCGGGTATAAAACCCGAAAATTCAGTTCAAAAAAACCGGTACAGAATCCATCATCCTGGTTACAAAAACCGGTTGGTATTCGCGTTTTATGCTTATACAAAAAATTATTTGCTTAAATATGAAATTTTCAAACGTTGGCGTATAAATGCCCAAAATTCTCTTCAAAAACCGGTTTGTATTTATTATTGGATTTATAAACTTTTGGGTATAAAACCCGAAATTACCCAAAAAAGCCGGTAAACAATCCATCAACCTGGCTAAAAACCCAGTTGGTATTCGGATTTTATGCTTATACAAAAAAATATTTCTTTTAAGGTGGGATTTACAAACTTTGGGGTATAAAAACCCAAAATTCGGTTAAAAAACCCGGGTTGTAACCCACAAACCCGGTTACAAAAACCGGTTCGTAATCGCTTTTTCATGCTTACACGAATAATATTGATTAAAAAATGGGATTTACAAACTTTTGGGTATAAAACCCGAAAATTCGATTCAAAATAGCCGGTACAAAATCCATCAACCTGGTTAAAAAACCGGTTGGTATTCGGATTTTATGATTATACAAAAAATATTTGCTTAAAGCTGCGATTAAAGAACTTTGGCATATAAATGCCCAAAATTCTCTTCAAAACCGGTTTGAAACCCACAAACCCCCAGCTCACCTCCCTCTCCATCTTTAATCCTCCTACGTGGCTTGAATATTTTTTTCAGAGAAAATTTAAGAGAAATTTCAAGCCTTTTATGCTTAAACAAATAGCTATTGGGTGAAAGATAGAATTTATAATCTTTCGCCTATAAAAACCGTAAATTGGTTAGAACAACCGGTTCAAAACTCATCAACCCGGTTGCAAAAACCGGTTTGTATTCGCTTTTTTTTCAATCGATTAACCTTATAATTGCAATCGATTAACCTTATAATTTCTTTTTAGTATAAAAATCGTAATTTCGGTTACAAAAACCGGTTCAAAACCCACCAACCCGGTTACAGAAATCGCTTCCTATTCGTTTTTATTTAAATCGTAAAGCCTTATAATTGCAAAATGTTCATTAATTTGTATAAAAAAGTAAATTCGGTTACAAAAACCGGTTCAAAACCCACCAACCCGGTTACAAAACCCGGTTCCTATTCATTTTTATTTAAATCGTATAAGCTTATAATTGCAAAATTATCATTTAATTTTTATAAAAAAAGAAAATATGCTGGACACTATTTCAAAACCACTTCAATCTCCTCCGCTCCGCTCCCCTCACCACATGACCTTCCTCCCTCATTTCCTTTCTTTTACTTCACTTGAATATATATTTTTTTTATTTGTTCGCCTTACATTAAATTTCATATGCAAATTAATCACGCCAACAAATGACGACGATGATATGATGCCAGTGCCAGGACTCGACTATCCACATAAGGAAACATGTAAGGACTTCAAAAACGACAAAAAAAAACATTCGTGTTGAATATCTAAAAATGTTTGCCCCCCTACCCAAAAAAAAAAAAAAATGGTTGGGGAAAAATGTGCAAGTTTTAACAGTTATGGCGTGGCAGCTAGTCCAGCAGGCTGGATGGCTGAAAAGTAAACTGCCTAGCTGGCAAGCAAATAATCGTAATAATTTTATGATGTTGTAAAACGTGCCTAATGTCACAAAAATATATATAAAAGTCATATAACACCGGCAAATATTATTATTATGACAGCATATGTATGTAGTATAAAAAAAACAACAGCAAAAAAAATATATAAAAGTATATAAAATTACAGTACAGTGTGTCAGGAAAATGTTTGTAAAATTTTTTAAAGGAATTCTTTCTATAAGCCTTTGAAAAAATTATTTTAAAAAATCCACGCCTTATATAGGCCTTTGAAAAAATTATTTTTAAAATCCACGCCTTATACAGGCCTTTAAAAAAATATTTAAGAAATCTACGCTTTATACAGGCCTCTAAAAAATTATTTAAGAAATCTATGCCTTATGCAGGCCTTTAAAAAAATTATTTAAAAAATCCTCGCCTTCCATCGGCAGGTTTGAAAAATAGGCCCTTGAAAAAATTATTTTAAAAATCCACGCCTTATATAGGCCTTTGAAAAATATATTTAAAAAATCTACGCCATATGTAGGCCTTTGAAAAAATTATTTAAAAAATCTACGCCATATGTAGGCCTTTGAAAAAATTATTTAAAAAAATCACCGAAAAAATTATTTAAAAAATCTACGCCTTATATATGTCCCCGAAAAAATTATTTAAAAAATCTACGCCTTATATATGTCCCCGAAAAAATTATTTAAAAAATCTACGCCTTATATATGTCCCCGAAAAAATTATTTAAAAAATCTACGCCTTATATATGTCCCCGAAAAAATTATTTAAAAAATCTACGCCTTATATATGTCCCCGAAAAAATTATTTAAAAAATCTACACCTTATATATGTCCGCGAAAAAATTATTTGAAAAATCTATGCCTTATACATGTCCCCGAAAAAATTATTTGAAAAATCTACGCCTTATATATGTCCCCGAAAAAATTATTTAAAAAATCTACGCCTTATATATGTCCCCGAAAAAAAAATTTAAAAAATCTACGCCTTATATAGCACTTTATTTAAAAAAATATTTTATTTTAAATTTTTTATTTATGTCATTTTCCATTTCACCCACAAATTATGTAAAAAATGTCTATGCATATTTAATATGTTGTATTCCAACAACGTCATGGCACCATATTTTGTTGTTGTTGTTGCTTTCCTCCTTAAAGTGCTAAAAGGAAAACAATGTTAAAGTATTTTTGTGTTCCTTATTGTTATTGCTGTTATTTACTTATGTCCTTGCAGGAGGACACATGAAACTTTTGAGGGGATGAGAGAGAGAGGCAGAGTATGTTGGCCAAGTACAAAAAATGTCATTATGATAGGCTCGGAACGAAAAAAACGACAATAAAACAACAACAGTCCAACAATCCATTAGGTAAAGAATGTGGGTGGTGGAAAATTGTGGGAGGTGGTGAAGGTGGTCGGGGTTGTGGAGGAACCGAGAAGGGGTTAAGGAAATAAAAGCATTTATTTTCGGTAATAAAATTATGGCTTTAATAAAAAAACATAAAAATTAAATTATAAAAAATGGGAACATATTTTATGGTCCTAAAATTAAGACCCTGAAATGAGTCAAAGTCGCAAAAATTAGGGGACCATCAGCTTTACACACAACTAACGAAAATCGACCCTAAAGAAAGCCCAAGACGTAGAAATCAGGGGAATCCAACTTCAAACTTCTGAAACTCATAGAACCTTAAAAAAGGATCATAAAGAGGGCCAAGTTCGTAAAAATCGGCAGACCATCAGCTTAACTTAAAATTTCCGGAACACCTTGATATATTTCAAATAAATCGTTCGGATATTTTTTAAAACAATTTATTATTGAATATTTCATTTAAAAAAAAATCTATACAAAAAGTTTTCATAATAACCATAATTTTTTCGATTTTTATTACACCTCAGGAAAAAACCATTTCACAATTTCGGATTTTTATGACCTCTCACAAAAAAACTCAACCATTTTCCTTATCGACAAAATATTTATTCTCCACTAACAAATTAGACACATCATCCCAGCAAAATTGATCAATTTATGTCCTGCTGATACTCTCACACCAGGCTCCACCATTTCGATTCGACTCACAACAGTGGACACTAAAACTTTCCACACCATCGACTATTAGGCCAATGGACTGACAGGCGAAACGAGGCAGACAGATATTAGAGATTTTTTTATTTTTTGCAAAAAAAACGACGCAACGAAGAGACAGCATCTTAAATTTAAAAACTGTCCATATATTATCGAACAACCATAAATTATAAAATCACCCAAAATGCATGTTGGCTAGGCTATGATGGCCACCACTTCACTATTGCAAAGCAGTTAGGCACTTAGCCAGCCAGCTCTTCTTCTGCCTAACTGTCTGCATGTATTGGTCATGGACAACATCTTCAATAGATTTTCGTTTGGAGTCATGGAGTTTTAAGATTTTTTTTTTCTCACTCACCTTCCCATGGACATCCCACAATTTCGGCTCTCAGACACACGGTACGATCATACTGGCCATATGGATAAATGCGTATTTTTGATGCGAATATAATCGGTTGTAATGTGTTTTCCACTTCACTGTAGGTATTGATGTTGCCGGGTAAGATCTGTAAAGGGGAAAAATGGGGAAAAAGAGAGAGGTTAAATTTTGTAATGGATTTTAACATTTTCTTCTTCTTCTTTTCGGTTGTAAAAATGTCCAATAAATTCGAATCGAAAAAATTTATTTAAAAGATCTACGCCTTTTGTATGACCCCGAAACAATTTTTTTTAAAAATCTACGCCTTTTGTATGACCCCGAAAAAAATGTATTTAAAAAATCTACGCCTTTTGTATGACCCCGAAAAAATTATTAAAAAAAATCTACGCCTTTTGTATGACCCTGAAAAAAATTGTTTTAAAAATCTACGCCTTTTGTATGACCCCGAAAAAATTATTAAAAAAAAATCTACGCCTTTTGTATGACCCCGAAAAAATTATTTAAAAAATCTACGCCTTTTGTATGACCCCGAAAAAATTATTTAAAAAATCTACGCCTTTTGTATGACCCCGAAAAAATTATTTAAAAAATCTACGCCTTTTGTATGACCCCGAAAAATTTATTTAAAAAATCTACGCCTTCTGTTTTTTCCTGAAAAAATTATTTAAAAAATCTACGCCTTTTGTATGACCCCGAAAAAATTATTTTAAAAATCTACGCCTTTTGTATGACCCCGAAAAAATTATTAAAAAAAATCTACGCCTTTTGTATGACCCCGAAAAAAATATTTAAAAAAATCTACGCCTTTTGTATGACCCCGAAAAAATTATTAAAAAAAATCTACGCCTTTTGTATGACCCCGAAAGAATTATTTAAAAAATCTACGCCTTTTGTATGACCCCGAAAAAAATTATTTAAAAAATCTACGCCTTTTGTATACCCAAATTTGTTTTTTCCTTACCTCCTTTCCTTGGGTGTTCTTCCAACGCTTCCAGCTGGTGAAACCCGGTCGCCAATATTCCAAAACATAGGCCTCCGTATATTCTTGGCCTTGGCCCTTGCCGAATCTTCCTTGGGTGCGTATCGCTGTTATAACATGCACCGATAATAAATCGACTTCCAGATATTCCTTTAAAGCTTTGGAGACCATATGTTTGGGACACCAGGCACCGCCATTATTATCGGTTTTCAGTCTGTAAAGAAAAATCGAACAAAGAAGAATGGGATTAAAAATAAAATTCAAGAAAAAAAATCAAATGATGATTCAAAGATAACTCATCACTAAAAATTTTATAAAAAAAACTTTTGCCAATTTTCCCCTTTGTGAAGACATTTCGCCAAGCCAGCCAATCATTTGGCCTGCCATGGCTTGGAATGCCTTGGTGAGCTCACACAGATTCCTTATATAAATTAATTGACATTAAATGACAGGACGGCCCCACATTGAGTTCGTATGCATGCGGCGGCCAGATAGATAGCTTCATACCCCCAATAGTTAGTAGCTGAAATTGGTGGCTAACTGACTGACTCGAATTGAATGAATGGATGGCGTGTTGTTGCAAATGTTGCCAATAACGAATGAAATTGTAGCCAGGATCCGAATGCCACGAACCATCACCACATGAAAAACCACCTTCTCGTGGTGGTATTTTTTTATTCGTCTCTTAGTTTGCTTTCAAACGTTGACGATATCACCAAACGTCATCGTCTGCAGAAAATAAAATTAATGTGCTATTTTTGTTGGAGTTTTTACTGTCATTTGGTGTGTGAGTGTGTGTGTATGTGTGTGTACCTTTGTGCATGAAAATGTAAAAATCACAAAACGTTAAAATGCCTTAAATGGAACGTGAATCAGGGGACATTTTCCGAAGAGGTGAGGCGATATAATTTGGGGGAAAAAATTATTTAAAAAATCGACGCCTTATGTATGTCCCCGAAAAAACTGATTTAAACCAGTAAGGAAAGTAGTAAAGTCGGACTGGGCCAACTATATGATACCCTTCACCACTTTGGGTATATCCGGCAGATGAATCCTAACAAACGTTGCATTTTTAATGGACCAGTAAAAGAAAATTGGATCAATAAACATGTCATTCTTCAACCGATACTAAATTTTTCATTTGGTCAGATATAGAAGCTATATCTAAATGTGAACCGATTTTCAGGAAACTTAACCCTCATCATTCTAGACCAAATTTATTACAATGTGCCAAATTTCGTGCAAATCGAAAGATATATAGGGACTTTGCTAAAGCATTTACCTTAAATCGGATGAAACTATATATGGGAGCTATATCTAAATCTGAACCGATTTTCACGAAACTTCGCACACATCATTCTGGACCTCATTCAGTACATTATGCCAAATTTCGTGCAAATCGAAGGATATATAGGGACTTTGGTGGCCCATTTACTTTAAATCGGATGAAAATATACATGGGAGCTATATCTAAATCTGAGCCGATTTTCACGAAACTTCGCACACATCATTCTAGACCTAATTCATTACCCTGTGCCGAATTTCGTGCAAATCGAAAGATATTTAGGTACTTTAGTTCACCATTTACCTTAAATCGGACGAAAATATATATGGAAGCTATATGTAAATCTGAACCGATTTTCACGAAACTCAGCAGACATCATTCTAGGCTCAATTCAGTACGATATGCCAAATTTCGTGAAAATCGAAAGATATTTAGGTACTTTAGTGCACCATATACCTTAAATCGGAGGAAAATATATATATATATATATATATATATATATGAGAGCTATATATAAATCTGAACCGATTTTCACGAAACTGTGCTCACACCATTCTAGACTTAATTCATTACGCTGTGCCAAATTTCGTGCAAATCGAATTATATATAGGTACTTTGGTGCACTATTTATATAAAATCGGACGAAAGTATATATGGGAGCTATATATTAATCTGAACCGATTATCACGAAACTTAGCACACATCATTTTAGACCTAATTTAATACGCTGTGCCAAATTTCGTCCAAATCGAAAAATTTGTGGAGGCTTTGGTGCCCCTTTTACATTAAATCGGACGAAAATATATATGGGAGCTATATCTAAATCTGAACCGATTTTCACGAAACTTGGTAGACATCATTCTAGACCTAATTCAATACGCTGTGCCAAATTTCCTGCAAATCGAAGGATATATAGGGTCTTTGGTGCCCCATTTACCTTAAATCGGACGAAAAAATATATAGGAGCTATATCTAAATCTGAACCGATTTTCACGAAACTTAACACACATCATTCTAGACCTAATTCATTACGCTGTGCCAAATTTCGTGCAAATCGAAAAATTTGTTGAGGGAATATTGAGGGACTTTGGTGGATTTAATGTAAATAAATCGGACGAAAATATTTATGGGAGCTATATCTGAATCTGAACCTATTTTTCCCAATTTCAATAGGATTCGTCCTTGGGCCAAACAACTGACCTATGCCAAATTTCTTCCCATTCGGATCATAAATGCAACCTGTACTTTATTCACAAAAATACGTGGACGGACAATCAGACGGACATGCATAAATCGACTCAGAAAGTGGTTCTATGCATATTCTCAAAGGTAACCATGGGTCTATCTCGATTATTTTTGCCTTTTACAAACATATGCATAAAGACATAATACCCTGTACCACAGTGTGGTGAAGGGTTTAAAAATCTACGCCTTATGTATGACCCCGAAAAACTTTGACGAAATCATTAAAAAAATCTACGCCTTGTATAGGTGTTGGAAAAAAATATTTTAAAAATGTACGCCCTTTGTAAGACCCATTTTTTTAATCTAGTCCTTGGTAGTCTTTGGAAAAAAATTATTTAGAAAATCGATTTTTTTGACAAATTTCCTCATTCCTTTTGCACCGACCCTCCTTCCTTCCATCCATATTCCAACCAATATTGTCATCATCGTCATCCACCGCCTCGTCATATGATGGCCATGATGATGTCCCACAAAGCCACTGTCTGCTATGTAAAAGTCTTAACCAAATGATTTTGAATTTTTTACAACGTCTTGGAGGTTTTTTTCTTCTTCTTCTTCATTTTAAATGCTGTCTTGGCCATTTGATATTGATATTGTTGTTATTGTCATGTTGTTGTTGTTGTTGGCGATACATTACCATTTGGACATTTAAGTGGCGTTTTCAAGATTTGTTCATTCCTTCTTGATTTGTATATTTCTTGTGGCCAATATAACGACTAAATATTGTTGTTGTAGTAGATTTGTTGTTGTTGTTGTGATTTCTGATTCTTAATGGAAATTGCGTTTATGTCTTAAAAAAAACATTTGTGCAGGGTGTATTAAACGTCAATACTTGGTCATGTTATCATTTTTTTTTCGAAATGAACAACCAGCAAGCGCGATGGAGGGGGGGGAGGGGGGAGGAGGTACCCCCCTATGACTATGAAAAACGCTTCTGGTAACTTGTTAAGTTCGTTAAGGTTGCGATGTTGGAGTTTCAATTTTGTTGATTTCTTTCTTCCTCTTAATGTTAACGTCTTTGCAGTGTTTGTCGTTTGGTCGGGACGGTCCCCCCATGGCTGAAATGATGTCTTTTTTCAGCTGATGGTAATGGATCTGTGGAAGGAAAAGGGAATTTGTTGCCACTTTTTTTTTGGACAAACTCAGCAGGATGTTGTCTTGGTAATTAAGGATTAATATTCGTTTTTTTGCGGTATCTCTGTCCCGTCGTTTTCTTCATTGGCGGGGTGTTTAAGTTATGTTATGAGAGGTTGATTTTTTGGATTGCCGCTCAACTTCTTATTTTTTTGCTGCTTGGCAGTTAAGATGTTGTCTGCTTTAAGCATTTATTGATATGTTAATTTTTTGTTGTTGTTGTTCTGATTGTTGGTCAATCCTGGTGGGGAGCTGTGGTCCTTTTTGGCGTAATGTTTTTAATGATTTTTTTTTATTTTTTGGTTGAAGTGATAGCCCTTGATGTGAAAATAATGAGAAGGAGTGTGGAGGAAGGCAAGGAAAAAGAGGCGTGTGGTCATTTGTAATTATAGGAAATTAATTGGAGGGGATTTATGGATGCTTTAAGGGAGATAGCAAGCAAGCTTTTTTTTGGAGAGTTAGCTATTTTTCAAAAAATAAATATTTTTTTAGGCATCTACCCAAGGCGTAGATTTTTTTAAACAATTTTTCTAGGCATCTACCCAAGGCATAGATTTTTAACAATTTTTAGGCATCTACCCAAGGCGTAGATTTTTTTAAACAATTTTTTAGGCATCTACCCAAGGCGAAGATTTTTTAAAACAATTTTTTAGGCATCTCCCCAAGGCGTAGATTTTTTTAAAAAATTTTTTAAGGCATCTACCCAAGGCGTAGATTTTTTAAACAATTTTTTAGGCATCTTCCCAAGGCGTAGATTTTTTTAAATTTTTTTTTAGGCATCTACCCAAGGCGTAGATTTTTTTAAACAATTTTTTAGGCATCTACCCAAGGCGTAGATTTTTTGAAACAATTTTTTTAGGCATCTACCCAAGGCGTAGATTTTTTTAAACAATTTTTTAGGCATCTACCCAAGGCGTAGATTTTTTAAAACAATTTTTTTAGGCATCTACCCAAGGCGTAGATTTTTTTTAACAATTTTGTAGGCATCTTATGATCCGATTTGGATGAAATTTTGCACAGCTCATTTATTTGGCCCAAGGACGAACGCTATTGAAATTGGGAAAAATCGGTTCAGATTTAGATATAGCTCCCACATATATTTTCGTCCGATTTTATGTAAATGGTGTACCAAAGTCCCTATATATCTTTCGATTTGTACGAAATTTGGCACAGAGTACTGAATTAGTTCCAGAATGATGTGTGCCAAGTTTCGTGACAATCGGTTCAGATTTGGATATAGCTCCCACATATATTTTCGTCCGATTTTATGTAAATGATGCAACAAAGTCCCTTTGTATCCTTCGATTTGCACGAAATTTGGCATTGAGTACTTAATTAGTTCCAGAACGATGTGTGCCAAGTTTCAAGAAAATCGGTTCAGATTTAGATATAGTTCCCATATATATTTTCATCCGATTTAATGTAAATGGTGCACCAAAGTCCCTACATATCTATCAATTTGCACGAAATTTGGCACAGCGTAATGAATTAGGTCTAGAATGATGTGTGTTACATTTCCTGAAAGTCGGTTCAGATTTAGATATAGCTCC